CCTCTCACTCCTTCTTTCTCACTCTCCCTCCCTCCTTCTTTTCCTCCTTGTTGGTCACGCCCGTCATGAGCTCATGATTCTTGTACAGTGGGATTTCCTGGTCACTATTTACACTTTCCGTCGCTTCCTTTCTGCATACAACTCTGCAGGCCTATAGAGGGGGGGGAAGACATTATGTAGGCCTATGGAGGAAAAGGCACATTATGCAAGCCTATAGAGAAAAAAGATATATCATGTAGGTCTATAGAGGAAAAAATACATTACATAGGCCTATGGAGGAAAGATACATTACATAGGCCTATGGCCTATAGAGGAAATACATTACATAGGCCTATAGAGGAAATACATTACATAGGCCTGTAGAGGAAAGACACATTATGTAGGCCTATAGACGAAAAAGACACATTATGTAGGCCTACAGAGGGGAAAAAGTTACATTACGTAGGCCTATGGAGGAAAAAGTTACATCATGTAGGCCTATGGAGGAAAAAGACATTTCTAAGCACTATGTCGTTCCTATTAAGCGACAGACCGAAAGCTTGTGAGTAAATGAACTTTTTTTATCTTTATTTCTTTCTTTTTTTCGATGAAATAACGTGAATGAAACTATTTGTGACAGGGAATAATACCCACAGGCGGAGGAGATGGCAGCGTTAGTAAACTAGACATAAAGAAGAGGATAATTATAGGTAAAAGTAAAAAATAAAAAAAATAAAAATATAAAAAATAATAAAGAAGAGGATAATTATAGGTAAAAGTAAAAAAAAATAGTAATAATAATAATAAAAATAAAAAAAGTTAGTAAACTAGACATAAAGAAGAGGATAATTATAGGTAAAAGTAAAAAAATAAAAAATAAAATAATTTAATAATAAAAATAAAAAAGTTGGTAAACTAGACATAAAGAACAGGATAATTATAGGTAAAAGTAAAAAAAAAAATAGTAATAATAAAAGAATAAAAAATAAAAAAAAGTGAAACGTATTAATCCTAATGGGCGTGTATAGCACCTTCCGTTTGCGAATCTTTAGCACCGTAATTTCGTTCTGCGTTCGTTCCGTTTTCCGTTTTTTTTTTTTTTCGTTTTTTTTGTGTTTTGTTTCGATCCAGTTTTTCTCTTTTTCTTTTCCTTTCCTTTCCTTGGCTTTTATCAATGGCTTTCTTTCTTATTTTTTTTATTTTATTTAGTTTTTTTTTGTTTTGTTTCGGTCCAGTTTTTCTCTTTTCTTTTCCTTTCCTTTCCTTGGCCTTTATCAATGGCTTGCTTTCGCTTTCTTTCTTATTCTTTTCTCTTTTTCTTCTTTATCGTCTGTTTTTTTCTATTCACTATTTCCGAGATATAGATAACGAATAATAATAATTTTCCTTCGTTTTTTTCTTTCAAAGGAAACACTATCTATTCATCACAAGTCAAATAATAACAATCATTATTATTATCATTATCATTATTGTTATCATTATGATCATTATTATCATTTTGATCATTATTGTTATTATTATCATTTATCATATCATTATTATAGGGATGATAGGATGAAAATAAGATAATTATAAGAATGATAATAACAACAATGTTTTTTTTTTCGTCTTCTATCACTTCAAGATCTTCCAGTTCGATCTCAAGACAGTAGCTGGTTCGGTGTCTTCCTTCTCCTTCTCCTCTTTCTCCTTCTCCTTCTCCTTCTCTTTCTTCTTCTATTCCATTTTCTTCTGTATGGTCCCCTTCTCTAGGTCTTCTTCTGTCCCCACATTTCACTTTTCCTCTCTTCCTGTATTCTGTTCTATGCCTCTTTCTTCTCTTTATTTCCTCCTTCCCATTCCTTCTTCTCCTTCTTGTCCCTGTTCTTCCTCCTTCCCTCTCCTCTCCACCTCGTCCTCCAATTCCTTCTTCTTCTTCTCCTCGTCCTCCACTTTCTTCACCTTCGTCTTCCTCCCTTCCAGCTTCTTCTCCTCCTCCTCCTCCACTCTCCTCATCCTCCTAATCCATCCTCCTCCTCCTCGTCCTCCTCCTCCTCTTTCTCTTTTTCCTCCTTCCTCCATCCTCCTCCTCCTCCATCCTCCATCCTCCTCCTCCTCTTTCTCCTACGCCATCCGCACCAGGAAGACCTCCTCCACAAAGCGAGTGTAACTGGCCTTGTCTCACCTCCCCTCAACCCGCCACCCGCCCACCGCTGCACCTGTCGCCAGCACGGGAGGCTGATCTGTGCCGCGGGCGTGAGGGGTGGGGGTGGGGGTGGGGGGATGGAGTGGGAGAGAGGGATGAGGAGGAGATGGAGGAGATAGAGGAGGAGGAGGAGGAAGGGGATGGCGAGGGGGAGGACAGGGAGGAGGAGGAGGAAGAGGAGGAGGAGGAGGAAGGGATGGTGAGGGGGAGGACAGGTAGGAGAAGGAGGAGTAGGAGGAGGAGGAGAGGAGAAGAAGGAGGAGGAAGGAGGGGAGAGGGACGAGTGCCTAGGCAGGGCGAAGGGGTTGGTGAGAGGGAGGAACCGAAGGAGAAGGAGGTCGGGTAGGAGGAGGAGGGGACGTAGGATTGGGAGCTGGGGGGGTGGGGGTAGGATGTCCCACGGGCAGCTCAGGCTACTTAGTCTCGAGATCCTTCTGCATCTGCAAAGAGCAACAGGAGAGTAAAACAGTAATACATAAAGAAAAAGAAAAAAAAAAAAACTACCACGCTATTCATACCCTCATACCCTGTTGTAAAACTGATTACACTGACTGAAAAAAAAACTGGGAGGAAGGGTGTTGTGGGGGTGGGGGGGAGAGTGGGTGTTAAGCGTAATCTGATATGAGCGGAGTAGATTACTTATGTCACTTATAAATATGTAAGTACGGCAGTCCAAACGAGCGATGCATACCGATTCGTAAATCATCTTCGGGTTTATAAGTTTCTCACTTATAAATTTTCTATAAATTTATATAAATTATAAATTGTACATTTTCTCAAAGACCCTCCACCAATAAATACCGAAGAATCTACATCAAAAGCCCAAAAAAACAAACCAGGTATTTCTCCCACGCATACCGAGATAAACCACAGAGCTTACGGAAAACCGACCACATATTTAATACACATAAAGCCTCATTTATATTCCTCTAATGGTGTTGGGCGGTCGTTCTTAGTCCCGCCACGACCCTCTGTGTCTGCATGGGTCCTAAGAGCTTCATTTCCTCGACCGATGTGCAATGCTGCAACATGATTCATGCTTGCGTTCTCTTTTCTTGCCATTTAAGTCGAAAGAGAGGCGACTGCTTGAAAATAAATGGATTGACTTTGTTTTCTATAGACGAAAGAACAAAGGGAATCGAATGCGATTATTCTGTGCGCTTTGCATTTGTTTATTTCTATAGACGAAGGAACAAAGGGAATCAAATTGCGATTATTCTGTGCACTTTGTATTTGTTTATTTCTATAGACTATGGAACAAAGGGAATCGAATGCGATTATTCTATTCGGTTTGCATCTGTTTATTTCTATAGACGAAGGAACAAAGGGAATCGAATTGCGATTATTCTGTGCGTTAGGAATTTGTTTTTCCTTTTATATAAACGTCTGAAAGATTATTGCTCAAAAATGGTTTTCATGGAGAAGATAAAACCGTTCTCATACATAATCCTAAATCCTTATTGTTCTTCTCATTAGCGTGTATTATTACGAACAATATAACATACACACAGACAGTCATACATGAGTACTTACACACGCTCATACTCACACTAGGAAACACATACATTTATATCCACACTCTCTCGGCTATTTGCAGATGAACGCACGCACATAGAGAGAGCGATAGATTTACAGACCTATATAAAAAGACATATAACCTCGCAGATAGATAGATGTATTAAGAAATAAATAGATAAACATGTAAGCGATATAAATAGATAAAGATATAGATAAACATGTAAGCCATAGAAATAGATAAAGATATAGATATAGAGGGATGAATAGATAAATATATATGAAATAGATATATGCAGATAAAGATAACATAGATATAAATTGATAAAGTTATGAGCATAAAGATAGACAGACTGATAACTAGATGAAATACTGACGGTGATAAATAGATGAATATATAGACAGACGGAATAAATAAGATAGACATATATGAAATAGATATAGGTAGATAAAGATGACATAGATATAGGTAGATAAAGATGACTTAGATATAAATAGATAAACATAAGAGCCTAAAGATAGACAGACTGATAAATAGTTAGATGAATATATAGACAGACCGAAGATTAATAAAAAATAGATAGAGATTCAGGCATATACCAGACCTAAATTCCACTCTGGTATTTTCTTACTTCAATATAAAGACGCTTTTGTGATCGCAAAATGTTCATATTCGGTAAAGTCTACACATTTATTCTTATATCTTTCACACATTTTCTTACACAATCTCGAGTAAGGTCGTCTATGAATCTTGCAGTGATTGCCAATATCTTTAATTCTAAGCGAATTTTGGCGAATCGAACATCAGTTATGAATATATTGAAATTTCCTGGTTTTTTCACTTTGGTTTGTGTGATTTTAATTTTTGCAAAAAAGCAATTCTTAATAGGTATATAAGATGTCTTTTACAATTCGTTCACTTTTTTTTAATTAACAGAATTCACAAGGCACTAAGTGCTGTATCTGGTGTGTTTATTCTTATATCGATATCTATCTATCTATTTATTTATCTATCTATCTATTTATCTCTTTATTTAATTATCTATCTATCTATCTATCTATCTACCTACTTATCTATCTATCTATCTATCTATCTATCTATCTGTCTATCTATCTATCTATCTATCTATCTATCTATCTATCTACCTATCTATCTATCTATCTATCTATCTATCTATCTATCTATCATATCCATTCCCAGAGCGAAATTTACTCCAGGTCGTCTTCCACATCTTCACCTGGGACTCACCTGTAGTTATGCTCTGCCGAAGCTGGACTGGAACACCTCTGCGCTGACGAAGACGCCTCCTCTCTCTCTCCCGAAGATATAATCCACGAATAAGCGCGAAGCCATTTCTCTTCCTTCCACTTCTCTCCCTTCCCACAGCGGGCCCTCACCACTCCCGCCTCGCCTTCGAAGCGTCTGGCAACACTTTCACTGGACGAAACACCGGATCGTCTCGCGTTTTCACAGATATAGGAACTTTGCCGGAGTTCACCACACTACCACAGCCGCGACCGGTGGCGGCACCTCGCCAGGTCGACTCGCACAGCGTCCAAGGGGTCGATTGTCTTGCAGGAGTGACATCGAGAAAGAGAGAGAGAGATAGTAGGGAGATCGCGTCCCCACGACGTGCTCCCCGCAACACGACACGCGCGAGGCACTTGTCTTCCCGGAAGGGTCGTGCCGCAGGGCGGTCGTGGAGCCCCTCTCTCTTCCTGCCGCGGCGGCCAGGGCGGGCGACAGGTGCGCGGAAGGTTACGCACCGGAGCGACCGTGCTGGCGCTGGTGACTCGCTCCTTCTTCTCCTCCTCCTTCTCCTCCTCCTTCTGGGCTCCCTCCCGGAGCCCTCACGCCGCCAGGGTGATGCTCTTGGTCTCGTACTCCAGCAGGTCCATCTCGCGGTCGTGGACGTCCATCTGGAGCACCTCCTGGAGCTCGCTGATGTACTGGATCACGTTCCAGATCACCTCGAGTCGGTTGAGCTTCTTCTCCAGGGGCTTCCTGGTGTTGGCCGCCGGCAGGAGGTGCCGCAGCTTGTCCAGGTAGAAGGTGACCTCCGGGTCGTCCTCGCGGGCCTTGGAGACCTTCCCGCTCCTGATGGGGGGCAGGGAGCTCATTGCGGATTCGCCAGCCTGGGCCTTCATGGTCGAGAGGGACGACGAGGGAACGCGAGAGTGGACGTCACGGGGCAGCCTCTCTCGGCGCGGGGAAAGCGACAAGTGCGCGGCCGATGAGTCGGTGATCTCAACTCGACAAGTGCATGCCTCCCCCTCGCGCGCGGTGCCCGGCGGTGCCCGGGAGCCAATCAGAATGGGCATTTCCTCGCGCGCCGCCAATAGCAACCCGCGATAGAGGGCGGCGCGCCAGCGGCAGAGGGCGGGGGGAGGAGCCAGGCTGCCGAGCATTCCAGAGTTCCAGAAACTGGCTCTCCTCTTTATCTGAATTATATCTTCCCATCGATTCCGAAAGTCACTGGCGATGCCACTTGAACTTTCTGGTTCTTATCAGCTTATGCTTTTACGAAAGGCGTTGTTTACCATCACGCTGGACGCACGAAAGCAAGAAATACAAAACCGTTTTTGCTTGTGCATTACCAACGCAACGGTGCCAGACGTACAACACCCCCTATGCCTCCAAACCCAACATATCTTTCCCCAAACCATCCTAAATTACGTCCCCCCTAAAAAATACTACCCTTTCATCCTCAACCTATCATCACAATTAATTAATTAGCCTACAATTCTCATTTCCCTGTGTAGGCCTAGCCCCTAGAGGCGAGAAGGATGGTTTTCCAAAGAGGTTTGGAGAGGCGAAGAGAAACTGGTTTGCAGTCAAGTTGTTCTCGGAATATTTTCACAAAGTGGTTTAATTTGTGTCTGTTTCACGCTGGATTTTGGGCTCTATGGCCTGATTGTTCTCTTGTTGCTAGTGTTAATATTGGTTACTGATGCTGTTATGTAGTTCTCATTTTATTATCATTATGCTAATTATCATTATTGACGTTATCATTGTTGTTGCTATCGTCATCGTCATTTTTACTATTTTTTATTATTGTTATTATGCTTATTATCACTATCATTATCATCATTTACATTACTTTTGTTATCACCATTATCGCTATTATCATTAACACTAATTCTAATATTATCATCATTATTACTACTACTACCACTATTGCTTGTTGTTACTATCACTATTATTATCATCATCATCATCATCATTATTATTATTATTATTATTATTTCATTACTACTACTACTACTACTACTACATTTCATTATTATTATTATTATTATTATTATTATCAATATTATATATTATTATTATTATTATTATCATTATTATTATTATTATTATTATCATCATCGTCATCATCATTATTAGTATCATTATCATTACAACCATCATAATGATCATCATTATTAGTACTATCATTACTACCACATCTACTAGTAATATTTCTACTATTACCATTGCTATTACTATTCTATTTTGTTCAAACAATCTTAATCATATTTTCCTTGTTATAGTCTTGTGTTTTAGGTAATATAAAGCATATATATCATATCACTTTATATTTTCCTATTTAACTGTTTATGTATCATTCTTACTTTCCAGTTCTCTATTATCATATTTTCCTTTGTCTTCATTTATATCTTTTATTTTTCCTGTGTATTATAAATTGATAAAATATACAACGTTATATTACAGTTCCTTCTATATCTGTCTCTGTGTCAGTTATTCTTATCGTTTAATTGTCTCTTGCTTTGCCTTCCTCTCCCATTTTTATCATCGTGTCTCTGTCTCTCTTCTTCGTCTTGGATTATGATCGACAGTGTTATGTCATGAGATGATAATGATATTAATAACGATGATGATGATGATAATAATAATGATAATAAAATAATATAATGATAATAATAATAATAATGATAATAATAATGATTATAATGATAATAATAATAATAATAATAATAATAATAATAATAATAATAATAATAATAATAATGATAATGATAATAATAATAATAATAATAATAATGTGGAGATGATGATGATGATGACGATGATGATAATGATAATAAAAATGATGATGATGATAACAGTGATAATGAT